AACTTAAGGACCCTTGTAGACATGTATTTTTATTAATATTATTTTTTCTATAATCCAGCACAATTATGTCAAAGTTGATAAAGCAACTAAAATAGAGAGAAAGCTGAGGAAATTGTTAGTGATTTGATGTGTCCTCTGCAGACTTGAACTTGTAGCTGCAAGATGATGTACACACTCATGCTATGTCCTGTGTGTGTTTCTTTCTGGCATTGCTCGAGAGTTTTGGGCAAACAAACAGCAGGCATTTTTCTTGTTTAGAAATCCAAGCTTTGCTGTCCAGTGAGTTCTGTGCTCAAAAGAACTGTTTCCCAGCTTCCTTCCAGGGCCACATTCAGGAATGCTTCCCTTGTCTACTGCATCTCGTGCACAGACACACACAATGGCAAGCAATCCTTGTCTAAAAGTCTCAGAGGAGTAGCCCTGTTAGTCTACAACTTTAAAAATGAGTAGTCTTGTGGCACCTTAGAGATTAATAAATATACATATAGTGTCATGAGCAAAACTCACTTCTTCAGATGAGATGATCTTGACTCCTAACTCTCATTTTTGCAGTCAACCCCGGAGAGCCCCCTAAAAATCACAAGGATGTTTGCACAGGCATTGTAGAAAGGCTCTGTAGTTTCCTATTATTTCCAGTTATCACTGCATACACAGGTTTAATTCCTTCTTCCAGTCAGGGAATACTTAACACATCCATGGATCTTAATGAAGTCTGAGAATGTCTTTAGATTGAAGACCCATATGATAGTGGCCATTAACACCTTTCAGCATAACAATCCCTTTTCAGGGAGCAAAACATTCATATTTAACATCACCAGAGATATCAGGAATTCTGATTCCAACTGATGATTTGCATGAAGTCTATGAATAAATTTTACTGTAGAATCACTAGGATGTGGTGCACCCCTGCTTTCTATGCCCCCCAACCCTCCTATCTTTGGAGTAGGCAGCCTTGCCTCTCTCCTTGGCTGCTGGGGAAGCCTGGGCCGAGACAAGACAGCCCCTCTTCTCATCTCCCCCCCCCTCAGCCGCAGGGTGAAGGCCGGGCCAGCCCGGACTCCCCCCCGCTCTCCCCGGCAGTTGGGCAGGGCTGAGTCTGGGTCACCCTCGGCTTCCCTCTAACCTTGCTCAACCTGTAGTTCAATTTGATTCCCCTGTCTCCATTCCTGCACTCACTATTCTCCCTAGCCCCTCCCCTCCCCACAGTACCTATGCCTCCCCTCCCCTCCTTTCTCCATTCCTATACCCACATCCTTCCCAAATCCCTCCCCACCCCCACACTGCTCATCCACATGTCTCCATTCCTATGTCTCCGTCATCCCTACCATCCCTTCTTATCACCCTGCACTTCCCCACATACACCCTGTCCCCTTTGCTCTCTCCCTACACATGCCCTGCCCCCCTCCCATTAATTTGTTGAGCTGCACTCCCCCTCCCCCCAAGAGCACCATTGGGTGGGGCATCACAGCCCTGAGCCCCACAGCACAAGCCAGATCCCACCCCTAGCCCAGCCTTTCTGCAGGGACCTATTGGGACAGCTTTGCTCCGTGGCAAGCCCAGGGAGCCCGGAGCAGAGTGGCCACCCCAGAGGGCTGGGGTGCAAGACCTGTTCAGCTTGTGAGAGCACACTTGAGCCTGAGCCGCATGGAGTCAAGTCGCATAGCAGGCATGTAGAACAGGCAGGCTGGGGGCGGGGGCCAGAGGCAGGTGGACATTGCTCCAGGGGGTGCATGGGGATGGAGCCGCTGTCCCACCTCCCCTTTTGAGAGAGAGAGAGAGAGAGAGAGAATGTAGGGCTAGCAGGGACCTTGAGAAGTTATCTAATTCTGTCCCCTGCTCTGGAGACAGGACCAAGTATATCAAGACCAGTCTTGACAAGCGGTTGTCTAACCTGTTCTTAAAGGTCTCCAGCAATCAGGATTGTACAACCTCCCATGAAAGCTTATTTCAGTGCTCAACTAGCCTTATACTTGAATTTTTTTTCTAATATCCAACCTAAGTCTCTCTTGTTTCAAACTAACGTTACATTACTTTTTGTCCTATTTTCAGTGCACATGGAAAACAATAGACTACTGTCCTCTCAATAACAACTCTTAACATTGCTTCCGAGAATATCATGTGGGACTGTGTCAAAAGCCTTACTGAGATCAAGATCAGAAGGGACTGGTCTTGCATTTAAAAACAAGAGTTACTCATGGAAGTATAAGCCTAATTTGGTAAACTGTCCCAATAATGAAGGTACAGCAAGTATTATATATTTATAGAAAGCTCAGGAACAAGTTCTGGAGTGTTTTCCTTCCCTATGTGAATTCCTCATGCACTGTGGCTTTTTTACTTTTTACAGGAAAGCAGATGAGCGGCATTAAGAGAAGGAGACGAAGATGGGTGTGGGTGAAGGAAGATTGGGATTATTGTGCTAGCTGAGGAGGGACATAGGATGTACATTTTATAGAGTAGAACAAGGCAAATTTGTGTCTGGACTTGGAGAAGAAATGTAAAGATGAGTGGGCATAAGTGATAAGAGGAGAAAGTACAATAAGCTATCGGTAATAAACACACAGTTTTCATAGGTTATCTATCTGCACAGTGTTTTATTTTCTTAATGGAGACAAATGATAGCCACAGTCTCAGTATGCAATCTTCTTAGTCAACTATTTTTGCTGAGCATGCTGTGGGCGTTTCATACTTCCCAGAGAACTTAATGACTGCCTGGTAGGTAAATAGAAAGCAATCCATCTACAGCAGCTACCCATGCTGATTGCACACTCCTTACAAATAACATAATTTTGTGTAAGGGCAACTAATGAATTTTGCAGCGTACCAATAATTCATAAGCAGTCAAACTGGCACAACTTTAATGGTGGAACTAACTGTAGCTCACACCTCCTGTTTGTTTACTTGGAATGGACTAGGAGGATGAACTCTCAACTAATGAAATAGACAAGTATGCACTGTGTGTATTTCTCGGTGCCAACATTTTTAGTGCCCGTGTTGCCAGCAATGAATTCTCAACTGGAAGAGTGAAAATATTCTCTCCTGCCCTTATCTAACTTCTCGCCTTGCATTCTTGGCATACAGAAATGCCAACCCTGTTGAAACAATACTTGATCTACCTTCATTTATTGAAACAGTTTACCAGACTAGGTTTACATTTCTATGAATAATGATTCAAAACTTTCTTTTTTTAAGTTCAGGACCAGGGCATTCTGATCTGATTTATAAATTCAATTAACAGTTTGTGCTATTTATTGACACAGAGCAGTGATTTTGTCACACTGAAAACTAAGGTTTCTAAAGGCTGTACCTCCCTAAACCAGGACCACAAAGCCCAGGAACAGGGAGGTCTGGTGATGGGGCAAGTATGTAGTAGGGGGGACCGGTGACTCAGTTGAGAGCCCTGTGTGTTGGGCAGAGACAGAATGGGCAACATGGAGAAGAACTCCAACCCCAGTGGAAGCTAGGCAGCTCTGGCCCTGGTCCTGCCTCCTGCTCCATTCTGGCTCCAGTGGCCAGGGAGCTCCAGTCCCAGAGGCAATTATGGAGCTCCGGACCCACCCCCAGCCCTGGCTGCAGAGCTCCAGCCCCGGCTGTGGAGCCAGGCAGCTGTGGAGCTCCGATCCCAGCTACAGAGCTCTGGCCATGGTGCTTTGGCCCTGGCAGCAATGAGGCTGGCAGCAGTAGGGACAGGCTGGAGCCCTAGCTCAGATGCAGCGGGGAAGCATGGGCCATGAGGGGTCCCGAGGGTGCTGAACCAGTGAGGTCCAACCTGTATAAGTTAAATCCATAAAACGAATATGGGATAGCTCAGTGGTTTGACCATTGGCCTGCTAAACCCAGGGTGGTGAGGTCAACCCTTGAGGGGGCCATTTAGGGATCGGGGCAAATCTGTCGGGGTGATACTTGGTCCTGCTGTGAGGGCAGCAGTCTGGACTTGATGACCTCTCAAGTCCCTTCCACTTCTGTGGGAGAGATATATCTCCACATGTAAAAATAATACATTGAGAATTTTACTGAATAAAACTAAGATCTGTATTTCAGCTGATTATTCAAACACTACAGTCCTATGAACTTGCCATTATCTCTGTGTAGTTTGTATTATGAATTTACCGTGGGCCTGATCCAAAGCCTAGCGAAGTCACTGGGAGTCTTTACATTGGCTTCAGTGGAGCTGGAACCAGGCCTTCAATACTTAGATACAAATCTCACAGTGTTAAAGAATGGCCATGACATAACCCTCATTCTATATGTATTCATAATTGTTCAATGACATTTTTAAGATGGGTATCTTTTGAAATTCAAGGCTAAGGAGAGCTCTTGTGGGAGCTGATTAGGAAGGTATAAATACCTAGCATTGGAAATACAATGGCCAGAGTTCTAAATGGGTGTATGTGTATTGTCTCGTATTAACCTTTCCTTTTCATAGGCATTTGTCCTTGCTATGATTCTGCCTGAATCATTTTAGTGTGACTAGTGTTTTTTAAAGTTATATGAAAATATGATTAGATAGAAACCCGCCTGTATCTTGGACCAGAGATTTTCAAAGGACAAAAGGGAACCTCTGCACTGAGTGTGAAGGTGAAATTGTAGCTCAAATAGACATACCCACGCTAGCTTGGTGACAACAGTAATGGGCCAGCAATGGGACCACATATCCAGGGTCCCCACGCCCACTTCTCTGTACTCAGGCTCATACTCGGACAGCTAATACATGCTGAAGACTGTGCCACCACTTTAGACTACTACTGTTCCCTGTGCTTGTCTAGCTAGCATGGGTATGCTACAGTCATACCTCCACTTGCAGTGTAGACATACCCTAAGAACAGTTAGGTGCCCAGCTCCCACTAAAAGTCAGCGGGAACTGGATGCTTAGCTGCCCTGTGCACTTAAGTTGTTAAGGCTCTTTGATAATAATGTTTTGATATCTACTAAAATTTAACTAATAAATTAATGTTTATTTTTTCATTTTCTCTCTCTCTGTGACATCCTTGGCATCTCTACAGCCCAGACATCCCATAGTACCTATTCCAGAAAATGAAGCACTCAACTCCAAGGAGGTAACTGAATGACATTTACAGTTTATAACTACATGCATGCTCACAATGAGTATTAGCTCGACTGGCTTTTGCAGCAAATCTAAAGTATGGTGCCATCAGACATACAAAAAGTGTACCCGCAGAGAGGGTTTTGGCCTACCACGTGGACTGTACAAATGGTTGTGTTTCGCTGTTATTACCAAGCAAATATTATGTGGTTTTGGAGCCTGTGTTGTGAAGTAATTGTGTTCCTTGTTTCTGATCTGTGCTTGTGGAAGGTTATATGACTGGGAATGGAAATTAATAAACATATACAAGGGAGCTCCATCTGAGAACTCGGCTTTTCACACTCTGCAGTGACTGTGATACAGCAGGAGTGACTGTGCTAAACACCAGAGGATACTGCTTTCACAGCAGATCCCTGGGTGTGTGAACATGGGGACTGCAGGAAAACACCTACCATACACTCTATTAAACTATGGGGGACAACATATAACTCACTACAACATGTGCTGACCAGCATTATTTCCTCAGTTAAGGATAAAATCCAGTGACAGTTTATTATAAGTATTGGGTAGACTAGGTCCCGCACTTGGTGGGGAATGGCTTCAATGACATATAGGTCTCCTCCATCTCTACTCTGTATGAAACTAATGCCTACAATCCTGGATTGTATTCACTTTATAAGAGAGCTGATGCTATCCAAGTTTTCTCAGGCCTCCAGGCATTGGGGTAGGGAGGGACAATCTAAAGGGGAGGGAAAAACAGGGCTGAGTGACTTGGAAAGGTGTCGCATGAGTAGAGGGCTGTGGCTCAGGGGTTGTTAGGTGTCTGGTTTTCAATCAGCATATCCGGTTGAAAAGGAATACTAGCTATTCCAGTTAGCATTGCTGACCAGACTGCTAAGTCTGCTAGGCACGAGGCTGGCAAGTGCCTTACCCAGTTCCACATGGCTCCCTGCAAGCAATGACATATCACTTGAGTTCCTAGGCAGAGCAACAGTCACAGGGCTTCAATGCACTGTTCCCACCATAAGCACCAATTTCACAGTTCCCATTGACTGGGAATTGCAGCCAACAGAAGCTGTGGGGGCAGCACCTGCTGGTGGATGCAGTGCGCAGTTTCTCCTGGCCCCGCCTCCACCTAACAGCTGAGAGAAATGTTGCTACTTCCAGGAAATGAGAAACACAGAGGTGGGGAATGCGTGTGAGGGGGCATGGCCTCAGAGATGGGCTTGGACAGGGGACAGAGCAAGGGTGTTCAGTTTTGTGTGATTAGAATGTTGACAACTCTGTCTGGTGCACTTGGCATCTGTCCCTTGCAACTGGGCCTGAGGATGTGTGTGAAAGGCATGGGCTGATGCTTCTCCAGACAGGCTCTTGCAGGCAGATGCCACTCTGCTCAGAGCAGTGATCTGGAGTGGCCAGTGTGATAAGTGGCTGGGGCTGATCATGCTGGTGCAGCGGGAGAATGACAGAACCCTTCTCCCTCCTTGCTGTCAGGCCAAGCAGAAATGGGGCTGGCACTTAACCCCATATGACCCTAGACGTTGCTTATTGATACATGTTGCTCTTGGGACAGAGCGTAACAATAATACTGAGCTCCCATGAAGTGTGTTTCATTAGTAAATCAAGATCATTATCCCCATTTTACAGAGGTACAGAAAGGTGAAATAACTGACCCAAGGTCACTCAGCAAGTCACTGGCTGAACTGGGAATAGAAACCTCATTTCCTGAGTCCCAGTGTAATGGGTTAACTGTTGGGCCACACTGCTCAAAGAGATCCACTTGTTTGTTAGAGGAGTGTTGACATGAATTTAAAATTACAGTCCCGCTGTTGAAATAAATCTGAATAATCCAATTAAATATCAGATTCATTAATGTAATCTTTGAAATGAAACAGAACATTCTTAATTCAGAAGGAAAGTTGGAGGTCTTAGCATTTTGGAAATTTACATAAAGGATAACTAGCTTCAAGGAATAGCTAAACATTCACTGCAGTAAAAATTTAGTGATGGTAGATGACTGGATTTTGACTACGGAGGCCTCATTGTATTATCCACACAATTTTAGAAATTATACCAACCCCTCTTAGATAAGTTTAACAAGAGAAATAGGATCATCCTTGACGGTTATTTGCACAGCTATTAACCCAGCTTGTTTCATTTACCGTTGAGAGAGAACATTCTGGTCTATATAAAAGTGCTAAAGATGAGCCTGAATTAAAAGGAATGAGATGGCACTTGTCTATAGTTACCATAAAATACATGGCTTCCTTATTGGTTTGAAACATATTGAGTAGCTGCTTGAAATGAAACATCGATGTATTAGATGCATCACCTGAGAGCTTACACGATGACTTGTTTTGTTAACAAACTCTACTTTTGGAGCATATGGTGGAGTATTTAGTTTTCATTTGATCCCCAGAGTCCACTTCTGCTCCAGGAAGCTGGGGAATGTAAAACCCATTCCCACTCACCTATACTCACACTTTTGTAAAAATTGAGTCAGTGTTGTTTAGGGGTGTATGCTAAATGTCATATTACTAACCATTCCTCAGGTTGTCATGCCAGCTTTGTGCAGAGAGATGTGATAATGGTGGACAGCAGTCTTATGCATGATGGAAGGATAGGGAGGGCACAAAATAGTGGTTCTCAGGCCAGCCCAATAATTCAAAGACTGGCTTTGCTTATGCTATGTCTACACAACCCATAGTTCAGACTAAGGGTATGTGAATTGCAGCATGCAATTAGCGTGCTGTTCTGTAATCCCCCTGTCTCTCTCTGTGTGGATGCTGTAAGTGGGAACTAGAAGGTATCTAATTTGTGTTAATATAATCATCTTTAATCAGGCTCTAGGGACCCTTTAGTTCATGCAGGAGAGCATACATAGCACACTGATGTGCACAACAGTTCACACCCTGTCGTCTGAATCATGGGGTTTTGGAGACAAGTCCTTCCTAAATTTTTCAATTTTCACTAATGCTAGCACTAAGCCCATGCTTGCTGCCGCAAGACTTGGCCCTTTACTTCTCACCTACCCCATAACATTGCTGCTAGAAGTAAAAAATAACCTGTAAATTCCTGTCTCCATTTTGCCATACTCCCTCTGCAGTGTGAGGATGTGGCGAGCGGGGAGGATGAAACTGCTACATGCTGGAGTTCAGCCCACCGGTGTCTGTGTGCCCAGCCTCATTTTGGATTTGGCCAGCCAGTATTGGGAGGGAACAAGGGCCCCCTGAGTCTCAGCTCTCCCCTGGTTAACCCACTCAGCACCCCAGCCCCAATTTGATTTTCTCTCACTTTAATACATCTTATTTTTAACATGATGATGTGACTCATGGCCCATGGCTGGCTAAATTCACAAAGGTCATCCTGGGAGGAAACAGAGTATTCAATGTTCTAGCAAGCAGTAGATGCCCACTGATCCTCAGCTAAAAGGAAATGAATATAGGTGTCCTTTTCCATGGAGGTGCCTTCCCAAGGGCTGCAAGGGGCACACACTAAGGGAGAAGCCTGAGAATCAAGAAAACGATATAGGTTGGTGGTGGTGCAGGAGATATCCCACCTTTAGGTTTCCAGTCCTGCAGACAGCCAGGGCAACTTAGAACAATCTCTGCACTCTTCTAAGTTGCTGACTGGTAATTGCTCTCTTGGGACATTCTGCTGAATGGGGTCTTCCTGGAATGTGGCAGCATCCTGACCTTGCCTCCTATTACCTGCAGACCTCCCATCTGGAGAATTATACTAGTCTTCGCCTCCTTTTCACCTCACTGAGGAAAAGGAAGCAGGACCTGGCCCAGCATGAATAAAGTTGCAGGAGTTAATCCTCTGTTTTACTATTACTTTTTTAGAAAGTACGAAATACAACCACTAACCTTCCCTAATTGTATAGACTATGCTCAATTATACTCTGATGCTCTGTTTCTCACACCACATTTGTAGCTTACATACTCATTAAAGCTCAGCATAAGATGCTGTATCTGTTTTTCAGTGAAGTCCTGGTTATGCAGCTGAACTGACTGAGGAGTCAGTCAACTGGCTAAATCAACATTTCTCTTTCTTCTGGAATGAGCACCACAAACCCTGCTGCCCCCATCTCTCTCTCATCAGAAGGTTCTCTATAGCTAAAATAATCTATAGAAACATACTTTAAAAAGACTAATGAAATGATGAGAAGAAATCAATTATATCAAACACTTTTTTTCTTTTTTTGATGCGGCGCAGTGTGTGTGATTGCCAGTCCCTCATTCCAGAACTCCTTTTTGCACAAAGTATCAATTTTAGAAAAGGTCCTGAGGTGGATATAGAATAACTTTGTTCTGTTTTTCATGTAACTTTAGTTTCATTCTGCAGTGGTACCACGTAAATCAGATCTGCCTTCCACCAGTGATAGCAGAAAGACAAGCAAAGGAAAACTTCTAGACAGTGAAAGCTCTCTCTGCAGTAAGCACTTTTCACTCAGATTGGAGGCAGGGGATGCTCGGGCAAAACCCAGCTAAGAGGTACATCAGCAATTCTAATTAGTTATCCTTATATATTATTATACATCAATCTATAATGTACCAAGCTTTATATCACCAAGCTTATGTATGATGCACATAGTATATTATAGTGACTTTAATAATGCTTTGAACTGAGTCTGGCTGTTGAAGTTATGAAAACAATAATCATATGGAGTCATAAAGCTTTCATAGGTGTTGTCGTGTACTTTTTATAATCAAATTAAAACATATTTAATGTGGCCATAAAATTCTGTTGCAATTAAGTCCTTTAACAAATTTCCAGTATAAAGATACCTTGGGTACTCATGGTCTTTCCTGAGCTAAAGCACTTGTTCTGTCTGTGACCTATCTTGATGGCTATATTTACACTACAATTAGACCCCTGTGGCAGGCTCTCGTCAGCCTGTGCAGTGCTTGAGATGTGGGGCTGTTTCATTGTTTGGTAGACTTCCAGGCATGGCCTGGAGCCTGAACTCTAAGATCACTGTTGGTTTGGTGGCTCCCAGTGTTTGGGACCAAGATCAGAAGTATACATAAAAGTGAAACAGGCCTGCAGTCTGAGCCCTGTGAGCTTGAATAGGCTGGCATGGGCCAGACTTTTTTTTTTTTTTTTTTTGCTATATAGTTGTAACCCATGAGGTACTGGGACACTAGGTCTGAGTCCTGAGTTAGCAGGATTTGTGTGAAGACCAAAGAGGAGTTAGGTCTGAGCCTGAGTTTGAACCCTGGCTTACATCGCAATGCAGACATACCCTAAATCATCTACAATAATTATTAGACATCTGCCATGTGCATGCACACACACCCAATTTTGTGTCCATTGACTTCTCCAGAGACAGGAATTAACCCAGCGTGTCACAGTCGTTCATGTAGGTTCATGAGGCTTTAAACAAAGCAGCCCAGTCCTGCTCATATTTGAGCCACTGACAATATTTCATGACTGAATGTAATGGGAAAAGTTGTGCAATGTATAAAGCCGTGGAAGTCTGAATTCAGGCCAAATGTTCCATTGTTCATTCTTCTTAAGACATGTTGTGATGGATAGGAGGAGTGGCCTTTTCTGAACATTCTAGCATTCAGTAACCAAAGGGTTAAATCCAGGTAGCTAGAAAGAGTTGGCAGGAAGCCAGGAGAACCAATAAGAAGAAAGTATGAGATTTGAATTGAGGGCTACCTGCCTGCTGTCCTTCTTTGTCCTTCCTTAAAAGCCAGGAGCTAGGGGAACAAGATGAATTGAACCAGACAGAACTACCATGCCTACAAAGAATACTGGGCATGGAGGTGGACTGGATCTTGAAGCACGGATATGTGAGTAGATAGGGAATTAAATGTCTTTTTGGATGTGATCAGGTTATTTCTTTGTTTTGTTGTTTGGTTAAACTTCTCTGTGCTAAGTCTGAGTGTCCCCTCCCCCAAACACTGTATTTTAAGCTGTTGAGATTTCCAGGGATGGAATTTCTCTGTACTGTATTTTAAAATGGTTCTTTTCTCAGTTGCTTTAAAACACCTAGCAGCCAAGTATGCTTTATCAAATATATCTTTTTGTTTTGTTTAATAAAATCACCTTTTTATGGCGATGAGTTGATTCTTGTGTCCTGAAAGGTAATAGGAGGTCTGTGTATGCATGCCTAAGACTGAGAGGTCGTCTATCAGAGATTGCAGTTAGTTTTCTCTTTTTCTTAAAGCTCTCTTGTGGTAAAGGAGTTTGGGGGTATACCTTTGGAAGAAGTTCCAAGTGCTTTCTTTCGGGGGTCAAGAAGAAAGGGGTTGTTTCTCTTGATGGTGGCAGCCTAAAGGCAGGGTGTTATTTAGAATGTCTCTTGCAGGTCTCCACCTTTTGCACTCAGATTGCTAGAGTGGTGAACAGCCTTGACACATGTCTACAAGGTGCTTCACTGGTGGACCAATTCCAGTAGGTGATATTAGCAAAGTGCTCCTAGCACAGATGCTGCTATACTGGTAAGGCTGCACTATGTATCAACATAGCTTATTTCAGACTCACATGAGCAAAACATGCTATAGTGGTAAAAGCACAACTTTGATAGCTACATTTCCACTGCAGAGTTCTGCCAGCACAGCTATTTTGGTCAAGGATGTGAGATGTGTGATTGACATCTAACAAACAAAGTGGTACCACTTGAAGTCTGTAGTGTAGACATCATTTTCTTCACCTACAAGATGTGTCACATAAAGGACCAGCATTCATTATTTATGATAATTAATAGGTTCTCTGCATATGGAATCCTCAAAAGAGTAAGACGGGCTCATCATGTAATAGGTGTAATATACATTGAACTACGTTTTTAAATTTCAAATTTTTAACCCAGAGTCCAGTTTTAGATGCATACTGCTCTTCTAACAATCAATGATGGGCACAAATGGTGCCAATAAAACCTTAATTACTTACCTTGGGGGCAAAATCTCAGAGTTGGGCAACAGCTGTCACTAAAGTGCTCAATTTTGTTGTCTCCAGGTAACTTCTCTTGCACTTGAGGCTAGGCTGTAATAGGAAGGGTATTCCCCCACCATCCTGTATAAGCCTAGGGTTGTGATAAAATGATTAGCCAGGCAGCAGATAATGTGAGTGAGCATTGGACCTGCACTATCAACAAACTGGAGTTTCCACAATGCAGGCCATCTCGAGCCTTGTTTGCCTTGATAAAGACCACTGCCGTGACTTCTATATATCTATGAACTGGGGCCATCCCTCTCATTTAAGTGATTCCCAACACTTCTAGTGAGGCAGAAATTCATCCAGAAATTGATCCAACACTCAGAGTGATGCTAGAACCTCGATTAGCATAAACAACTCCTGCCAGAGTTTGAACAGGCAGTGGGAGTACAGCCTCAAATGCATAAAAGGAACGCTGCCTCCACTAGGTACAATCTTGTTGGCCTCTTCAATCTCATCTTTTTAGTACTGGGTTAATTTGTTTTGGGCTCTGGCCAGTTCTTATGTGCATAGGGATAGGATACTTAGACTGCTCCATGGGCCTCTTCTCCTACCCCATAACCTTCAGCCCAGCACATGCTCTCTCCAGTTTTCTACAGCAGTCCCTTTCTAGACAGGCTATCTCACCCACCTGGCAGCCGGAATTAGGAGTTTGAGTGAGGTCAGTATA